TCGCATGAAGAACTTCTTGATTCGCCTTGACATTGTCGTCCGAACGAATGTTGTCTGAAGTTACACATTTGTCTTTTCTGCGCAGCATTTGTGTTTGCCATTTACCGCACCAATGTTCGCCAGCGGTGGTGACTTTTCCTTACCTGCTCACGAAACGTCACACACGACATGACGTCACCCGAAGACGTCATCAAAAAGTCCAGCTCTTAGGCGTGTCCATTAATAATTCACATCTCCACATCTCCTCAGAAACAACCCACTGAACTATAAATATCTGAAACCCCTACAAAAATAACTGTAACAAAAGCGCCGTTTTCGTCTCGCTGATTACGTTTACGTATAATTGATAGCTACTTTGCTGCATTGTTTAATTTGCAGCAGAACGTTTGTTGATCCTTTTCTCCTGAGAGCCTAAGCATAACATATTTAATATATTTCATTTTCCTTAAAATATTTTAGCGAATATTATTAAGTGTTTTTATTTCAAATGAAATAATAATTAAAACGAAATTTATTTTATTTTGATTTATTTTATGATGATCTACCATACTACATGATAATCAATGACGTCATCTTACCGCAAAGTCAAAAGAAGTAGAATAAGGATTTATAAAAGCTTAGCATACTTATTGGCAAAACCAAACGTTTTCCTTGTTTTGCAGTCGCGCCGTGCCGTTTTCCCAGAGTCCCTGTCCTCTCCATTTCCTCTTAATTATTAATCTTCATCCCTATCCCCCAGTCCTAACAGTCTCAAATTGTATTGCAATAAAATGTTTTGAATTCTTCACATAGGTACCTAACATTGACATGCCACGTCCAGAATCGTGGACCGCTAAATACTTCAAATCTCTTCCTTCCCAATCTGACAACACCCCATGTCTCAAATGCACATTGTGTGGAATGATTTTTCAGGCTGCCCGTCAGTCCCTGTCTAACCGAAACCGTCACATGCATGATGCAGGTAAGATATCTATATTACTATTTGAGGTGACGTAGTTTCTGTCTGTAACCGAGGTCAAGGTCGCGACATGGTGCTACGTAGCGCGGGTTACAGATCACACCGTTGCACCTACCGCGCCGAAATTTGCGCAAGTTATAGAACAAGAATGGACAACGTGCCTTTGAGCGGTCTCGGCTCGATCGGATCGATAGCGAGCGCGTGGCGCGTGCCCAAAAAGTGCAAATTCGCGTCATAGACTTTACATGTATAAATCGGCTGGCAAAAACGGGCGAAAATGGCTAAATTTGCCCGACACGGGTCCGTTCCCCGTGCAATATCTCGGTAGCCGTGCGCCCGATCGGCACGGGGCAAACAGCATCGTGTAGCGAATCGAACGGGCATTCGAATAGTGTGCGGTGCAGGGGTGGCACGCGCCACGTGCAAGTGTGAGGGCAATTTCATTTCAAAAAGTGCCATTTTAAACGGATTTTGGATTTTATTTTATTTTCCCGTGACCATCAGACTGAGAGAGTTGAAACAACGTCAATTTGCAAGAGAAATGTACCGCCTCTCATAAAAAAATTGTGAACAGCTAATTGATCAAAAACAATGTGGAAAAAACGCTGAATTAAATGGTATTTGTCCATAATGTGCCACTAAAAAGTTACACGGGATTTGCTGCTTAACCTGATACGCTTGACAATTGAAAATGCTATCATTAGAAAGAGCATTCAATTCTCTCCAAGATCCAATGATCACGTTTGCATGACAAGCAACAGTATTCTTAAAAATATAAATGTTTTAAACCTCTGCAAAACGATTTTTAGCGAAAATTATCTACGCCTTTAATTTGTCGTAAAACTACGCGCCTAAATTATAAAGCACATTTGACAGATTCTGAAGTGGAAAGCATGCTTATCAGACACGGGCACCTCGATGCGGTGGATATTTTTTTCCACAAACCAAAACGTTTAGCCGTCAAAAAGCAATCGACCGAAATGGATAGATAACCCAACCGACGAAAGAACAACCGAACACCCACCGATCGAAAATACCCCTTTTTGCGTTGCGGAGCAAGCGGGTCACCCTAGTTTATTTCTATTTCCCTATGGTTAATATGTTATTGATGCATATCATCCATTAAAATAGACATGGTGTAGGGTAAATGGCCAAATCACGAACACTGCCAAAATCCGAGCAGCCAACTTTCAACTGCAATATCTGATATTTAGTGTAAATGGAGTTGGAATATGGCCAAAATTAAATTGACAACTTTTAGGTGAAAGGTGGTGATTTGGATTAAGGGGCGAGTCAACTAGCTACTGGGTCATTTTGCACCCAATAAATGACACTTCTGCTCCAATTCTACCCATTGAACCTCAATATCATGATCCACCTGTCCACCACTAGATATCCTTCCTTATTACATAGAAAGTTTGAATGGCATGGCAATTTATAATTTTAAATGACAATATTTTTATGTTTCTTCTGTAGGTAGGTAGGTAGGTAGGTAGGTAGGTACACCAGACTGCTATGGACACTTTTCCAAGTTGGTGGGGCAAAAAACCTAATGTATGTCTTGGTTTGAGTCGTTTGATTGAGTTGATTGATTCCTTTCATTGTCGCGTTTGAGTCGATTGAATCAATTCCCGAAAACTGCTCTGACTTGATTGATTTGATTGGTTTCCCAAATTTGTCGTGATTGAATTGATTGCTATTGATTGAGTCGTATACAACCCTGGCTTGAACCCCCTGCTCCGGGCTGGACGGACACCTGTCCAGTGTCAAATTGGACGGGCTCAACCCCAGTGACCCACCAGGGTGCCCGCCCACACCAATGTCTCCCCCTAATTCCTATCATCCTTCCGGCTTTGGAACGGTCTCGTCAGACCGAAAGGCCCTAACCCAACAAAACAAAAACAAACAAACAAACCTTACCAAGTGTATTTAGTAGCGCTGAGCCCTGAACAAATGACCAAATCTTCACCAAAGCTGCACCATATGTGTACCAAATGCCTATGCCAGACAGCCGTCGTGAAAACGGCTATTGTCTTGCAGTAGGCATATCTAGCGTGCGTTTGGCATCCGGAAAATGAGGGATAATGATCCGGGATTACCGGAAATAATTTGATATTGCAGGGATCATCGATGCAATACAATTATAGTCACATTTTTATTGCTTTTGCTTCACTAATGGCTCTTTTACTCGTGGTCATGTCCGTTGTACACGGTGTCAGCTCCAAACACCGAATGATCCCGGACCCCGGTGATCCCGAAAAATGATCCCTGATTATCTGGGTGGCGGGTGCCGAATGCACGCCTGATTGACCATGCAGTAGTACAGCCAACATCATGCGTTTCGCCGTTTGTCGGTGACGGCGTCCGCCGTGTGTCAGTTACGATCAGTGACGGTGTCCGCCGTGTATCAGTGACGGTGTCCGCCGTGTGTCAGTGACGATCAGTGACGATGTTCGCTGTGTATCAGTGACGGTGTCCGCTGTGTTTCAGTGACGGTGTCCGCCGTGTATCAGTGACGATGTCCGCCGTGTGTCAGTGACGATGTCCGCTGTGTTTCAGTGACGATGTCCGCTGTGTGTCAGTGACGATCAGTGACGGTGTCCGCCGTGTATCAGTGACGGTGTCCGCTGTGTGTCAGTGACGATGTCAGCCGTGTGTCAGTGACGGTGTCCGCTGTGTTTCAGTGACGATCAGTGACGGTGTCCGCCGTGTATCAGTGACGGTGTCCGCCGTGTGTCAGTGACGATCAGTGACGGTGTCCGCCGTGTATCAGTGACGGTGTCCGCCGTGTATCAGTGACGGTGTCCGCTGTGTGTCAGTGACGATGTCAGCCGTGTGTCAGTGACGGTGTCCGCTGTGTTCCAGTGACGATCAGTGACGGTGTCCGCCGTGTGTCAGTGACGATCAGTGACGGTGTCCGCCGTGTGTCAGTGACGGTGTCCACCGTGTGTCAGGATCAGTGACGGTGTCCGCCGTGTATCAGTGACGGTGTCCGCCGTGTGTCAGTGACGATGTCCGCTGTGTGTCAGTGACGATCAGTGACGGTGTCCGCCGTGTATCAGTGACGGTGTCCGCTGTGTGTCAGTGACGATGTCAGCCGTGTGTCAGTGACGGTGTCCGCTGTGTTTCAGTGACGATCAGTGACGGTGTCCGCCGTGTATCAGTGACGGTGTCCGCCGTGTGTCAGTGACGATCAGTGACGGTGTCCGCCGTGTATCAGTGACGGTGTCCACCGTGTGTCAGTGACGATGTCCGCTGTGTTTCAGTGACGATGTCCGCTGTGTGTCAGTGACGATCAGTGACGGTGTCCGCCGTGTATCAGTGACGGTGTCCGCTGTGTGTCAGTGACGATGTCAGCCGTGTGTCAGTGACGGTGTCCGCTGTGTTCCAGTGACGATCAGTGACGGTGTCCGCCGTGTGTCAGTGACGATCAGTGACGGTGTCCGCCGTGTGTCAGTGACGGTGTCCACCGTGTGTCAGGATCAGTGACGGTGTCCGCCGTGTATCAGTGACGGTGTCCGCCGTGTGTCAGTGACGATGTCCGCTGTGTTTCAGTGACGATGTCCGCTGTGTTTCAGTGACGATCAGTGACGGTGTCCGCCGTGTATCAGTGACGGTGTCCGCTGTGTGTCAGTGACGGTGTCCGCTGTGTTTCAGTGACGATGTCCGCTGTGTTTCAGTGACGGTGTCCGCTGTGTTTCAGTGACGATGTCCGCTGTGTTTCAGTGACGATCAGTGACGGTGTCCGCCGTGTATCAGTGACGGTGTCCGCCGTGTGTCAGTGACGATCAGTGACGATGTTCGCTGTGTGTCAGTGACGGTGTCCGCTGTGTGTCAGTGACGGTGTCCGCCGTGTGTCAGTGACGATCAGTGACGATGTTCGCTGTGTGTCAGTGACGGTGTCCGCTGTGTGTCAGTGACGGTGTCCGACGTGTGTCAGTGACGATCAGTGACGGTGTCCGCTGTGTTTCAGTGACGATGTCCGCTGTGTTTCAGTGACGGTGTCCGCTGTGTTTCAGTGACGATGTCCGCTGTGTTTCAGTGACGATGACGTCTCAGCCGACCAACGAGTCGGAGCTGCAGCTGTACCGGGTGCTGCAGCACGCGAATCTGCTCAGCTACTACGACATTTTCATCAGTCAAGGTGAGTCGCGGAGACAGCTTCACCACACTGAACCTCTCCGTTACCAAGTGGCGGGTGCAGGCTGCAGCTGTGGGGCGGCTCACCGCGCTGCAGGAGACATATTTCCCGTCACTTGGCCCCCGATACAGGGGCCCTTCCGGGCTGTACAAGGTACACAGCACGCAGACATATACTGCTAGTACACTGTACAGGTACCTACCTAAGTATGTACAGTGTATGTACAAACGTCAATGCCTATCGGGCGGGTCCCGCGGCTGGGCGGCCAGGCAGCGGCGGACAGCTCCCACCGCTGCACTGGTCGGCCAGGCGGTGTCACCTGCTCAGCTGTGACGTCCCTCACTGGTCGACCAGGCGGTGTCACCCGCTCAGCTGTGGCGTCTCTCACTGGGCGGCCAGGCGGTGTCACCCGCTCAGCTGTGGCGTCCCTCACTCGCACCGAATTTCGTCACGGAATCCGGCCGGTTCGTTTTTCTTTCTGTCGCCTTCCAGTGGCCGCTGAGTTTTGTTGTAGTTGCCGGATGACGTGTGCTATGACGTCATTTCTGGGTAGAGCCACTGCCGCATTCCCTGCGACTGCACGACACGACAGAGCCCCAGCTGCAGCTGTGCAGCTGTGGCGTGCCACTCGGCCGCTGTCTGCAACATGGCACTTCAGACGGATTAGCGGCACCCGAGTGGCATTTACTTCAAAACTAACATGCTTCATAAGTGAGGAAGAAGTCGATTAAGATGTTTTGTTCTTAGGCAGCGCTGAATTAATCTGACCAGCTGCATCGCGTCGTTGGAATTTCTGTTTGGAAGCTCGTGTCCCTCTACTGAACCGTGTGTGTGGTGTTTCGCGGCAGCTTGGCCTGCTTTGTCATATTATCAGAGAACATCATCGATTAACACACTGAAATGAATTCATAAAATAAAGATATTTGCTGTAAAAGAGATTAACTAGGTGCAGATTTGGTCAAATTAGGTGCACTCGCCGGATAGCCCGTCGTGAAAACGGCTAATATCTCATTAAGCCAGCAATGGGCTTCTCCCCCGAGCTCCTCCGTTTGCTCGTGCTGGATGGAAGTTGCGTTGTTTGCGGGTGTAGTATCCTGCTGGAAAACGAAATCGACTTTCGGATACGTCTTCAGGATCCATGGGATGACGTCACTGTCAAGCAGGCGCTCATACATCGTCCCGTTTATCTTCTAATTGGCGTTAATGAAGACGGTTGGGCACTTTTTGCCGCCCGAGCCGTGGGCTGTCCTGGGTGGCCTAAGACACGGCAGTCACGTTCTCAGAGTTTTGACTGAACGTGACCGGCCTGACCTGGGGGCATCCTCCAGGACCTCCCCTTTTCGTATTTGGCTTTGATACGCGTAATTGTTCGCAGGGGGCTCCAAATTTCATCGCAACCTGCTCGACAGTCATGCCCGATTCGGCCGCCGCGCGCGGGTATCCAACGACAATGTGACGTTTAGCCTGCCTCCATGACTGGCCGTTAATGGTCTGTTTTGTTCGACATCTGGCTGTGTAGCAGGATCATTGAAGATATTGCGAGCGGCTATTGACTTCCCGAAAAGCAACCGCAGTACGCGTAGGAGTGTTTACAGTGAGAGTGCCAGATTTTTTTTGCGCACGAACGGGCCGGATAAATCTGTTATCCATGGATAAATCCATGTAAAAATAGAACGGATTTGGGCGGGACGAATTTGGGAATTGAAAGCTGAAAGTGAACACGGTTCAGAACGGATAAAATTACAGCTCTCAATATTCATGTTGAAAATTAATTGACTTGTTAAGCAGTGGCAGACCGCAGAGGTATAGATTTACATGTTATTTATAAGCGTGCCTTTGTGAACCATGATAGTTTGTGAGATATATGGCTGTCTGGTCCCTTACAGTGAATTTGTGATAGTCTCACAGCCTGCAGCCAGTAGCGGCGGAACACTTTCAATTACGGGGGGGGGGGGGGGCACTGCCCACTTTTGGTCCCATTCTTTCCATGCAACCCCATAGGGCTTAATGTTAAAATACCAAAATCAAAGGGGGGGCACGGTGCCCCGGTGCCCTCCCCGTTCCGCCGCCTATGCTCACAGCCAGTTTTTGGTGAAACGGATTATTATGGATATGTTTTGGAGGTTTGGCTAAAATATGGGCCATGGGCGTGCCGGATTCTAAAATTCAAAGAAAGGCGTTTAATGGGCGGACCTGGATATGACTTGCTGGATATGGGCTGGGCTGGATCCTGAAAAGCCTAGGTATACGTGAAGTGCTCTAATACCATTCCTATCGTTCTTGGCTTCAGGCTTGACAGGTTTTTCTCACTTCCGGCTCCCACGGCATACTCTCGCTCTGTCCCGGTCCGTGGGCCCCGTTCGGCGGGTGTGGGGGGGGGGGAGAGGGGGTGCCACGCTCCGCCCCTCACGTCACCCCCGCCACCCTGCCTGCCCTATCCGGGGGCCGCTCACGGGGCCCGGCCGCGAGTTACCTAAGTGTGGAACTACAAGTCGATTCTAGGGCTCTGATTGGTGACTTTGGTCGGGGGATGACGCTTATAGCATGACGTCACTCGCGTACTTGGCCGGACCAACGGCGCAGCGCAGGCGCGCCGAGCCAACCCAGAGGCTCTCAAACTCAATTGTACAGATCCTGCGCATTGAATGGCGAAACTTCGGCGAGTTCGCTTGAGTTTGGAAGCCCCTGCCAGAGGACTGGAGACGGCCGGATTATTTGCTGGACAGTGGGCAGCGCAGATGGCGATTGACGGTGCCAAAAAGATGATAGGGGAAAAGGAGTTGAGACTTTAGCAGTGAGTTATAAGCCTGTTGCATAGCTGAGTGGTAAATTGTAAAATACTTAGGGTTTGAAGAGATGCAGTGTAGATTAGCCGACTCAGGGACATTCTGCCGAGTTATGTAAGGCGGAAGGGTCGCAACTCGCAAGTCGTTTGTTTCCATGATTGCCTGATTAAAATGTAAAGCGTATCTAATGTTTAGTTGATAATACAGCGAGGTTGGGCATCTGCTCAATCCATTTCTTCTCTGCAATAGTGCATTCGCCACTGTAATTCATTGTAAGAGGCACTGGGCTGCGCCGCCTGTTAATTATTACGAAACCACCAGTGAATTCATTTGCTGTCGTCACAGTCACTCACAACAATACGAATCGTTCAGTCGTGCGATGGGGGTCCGCCAAATTTAATTGTGCTGCAGAATGCAGACTGGACCGCCGAGAATATAACACTTCCGTCTCCCTGGGCGAGCGGCGCATTGGAGCCGAAGGAAACTGCTTCAGTTTTTTTGTGGGGAGGATACCCATGTTTGAAAATTATGTTATGGAATGGTGTGATAAGGAAAAGGACGGTTTCTTGAATTGAGGGCTGTGGAGAAGAGGCAGATTTTCTCATTTGCTACCCAATGCAACGCGAAAAGACGCAAATGTTGCACATTGGGCTTATAAGTCTAATAAAAGATAAGGGACTTCGTGAATCATGCCTAATTGACCGCGACCAAGTTATTTGCCAATGCAGGTAGGCACTAGGTAGGTAGATACTCATTTGTGAACAGAACGTTCCACCACCCCTCGCCAGAAATTCAATCAGCAGTTGCTTATTAAAACGTTTGAGTGCACCTGACAAGTGACAACCTTTAAAAATGACGTCCTCCCTTTCAATGGTTCGTGCGAAGACACAAAGCCAGAATCAGCCAAGCAATATCGGAATCCATTGCGCAGTGTGTCGGATGTGCCCCCAGTTTTCAATCCACATAGCATAGTACACTGCTAAATGCAGGTACCTACGCTCACCTACACATTAGGTATTCGAAGGACTTAATAGCTCATACACATGGAAGAAACACATGAAATGTGATTTATAGCTGCAGCAGAAGTTTGGCATCCGATGCCTCTTCGCCAAGTTAAGACCATGCCAATCTCGGCCAGTCTGCCGCTGCGCCGGCACTGGCCGTGGTGTGACGTCATCCGGCCGGCTCGGCGCTGGGTAGTTCCACACTTAGGTAACTCGCGGCCCGGCCGCGCCGCCGCCTGGCGCGGCACGGCGGCCGCTGATTGGTCGGTCCCGGCCGGCCTCCGCCAATCAGAGGGCGCCGGCCCGGCCCGGCCCGGCTCTGGGGAGGACGGGGAGGGAGGGGAATCCCGCGGGCCTGAGGCTTCCAGTGAGTAGCTCGGAAGGCATCAAAGGTATCTATGGGCATCTATGGGCATCGGAAGGCATCTCATGGTCCAGCGAACCGACAGGCTACCATATGGTGGAGTGCGCGCGCGCGCGCGTGTGTGTGTGTGTGGAGGGGGGGGGGGAAGAAATCTGATAGGCATCCCTATTCCATTCCATATCGGATTACCGAGGAACTTTTTTCAGCCAACGCACATATGTCTTGTAGGTAGTAGGTACGCGAAGGAGATGACAACTTCCATTTATTTCAGAGGTAGTGGCCCTCGCTCAGTGCTGAGAGAGGTCCGGTGTGTGATGCAGTATCCTTAACAGGGTCCAGGAACACCAGCAGTGTTGCAGAATGTAGAGTATTAGATACCTCTTGATCAAGACTTCTCTCCCGCGCGGCGTTCCATGTCGCATCGCTGCACGTGAACAATACCTATAATACCTACAGTCCCGTCTCCGACAACTGGGTGTCCCTGTCCGGCCGCCGGCCTGTCAGCACTGCGAGGCTGCACGCGTCCCACGGCCACGAGAGGGCCGCCGTCTCCTGTGGCAGTGTGTCCGTCCCCCGTGTGCTGTGCCGTCACTGTGTGATGTGTCCCCCGTGTGCTGTGCCGTCAATGTGTGATGCGTCCCCCGTGTGCTGTGCCGTCACTGTGTGATGTGCCGTCACTGTGTGATGTGTCCCCCGTGTGCTGTGCCGTCACTGTGTGATGTGTCCCCCGTGTGCTGTGCCGTCAATGTGTGATGTGTCCCCCGTGTGCTGTGCCGTCACTGTGTGATGTGTCCCCCGTGTGCTGTGCCGTCAATGTGTGGTGTGTCCCCCGTGTGCTGTGCCGTCACTGTGTGATGCGTCCCCCGTGTGCTGTGCCGTCACTGTGTGATGTGTTCCCCGTGTGCTGTGCCGTCACTGTGTGATGTGTTCCCCGTGTGCTGTGCCGTCACTGTGTGATGCGTCCCCCGTGTGCTGTGCCGTCACTGTGTGATGTGTTCCCCGTGTGCTGTGCCGTCACTGTGTGCTGTGCCCTCACTAGTCACTGAATATCTCTGTGCTGACTATGCCGTCACTGAATGCATAGTTATGTGCTATGCCGTCACTGAATGTATATGTGCTGACTGTGCCGTCACTATGCTGACTGCTGTGCCGTCATTGTGCTGTGCACAGTGTGATGCCGTCACTGCGTGCTGACTGTGTTGTGCCGTCACTGTGCTGACTGTGCCGTCACTGAGCCGTCACTGTGCTGACTGTACTGTGCCGTCATTGTGCCGTCACTGTGCTGACTGTGCGGTGTCGTCATTGTGCTGTGCGCAGTGCGATGCCGTCACTGTGTGCTGACTGTGCCGTCACTGTGCCGCGCCGTCATTGAGCCGTCACTGTGCTGACTGTGCCGTCACTGTGCCGTCCCTGTGCCGTCACTGTGCCGTCAGTGTGCTGACTGTACTGTGCCGTCAGTGTGTGCCGTCACTGTGCTGACTGTGCGGTGTCGTCACTGTGCCGTCACTGTGCTGACTGTGCAGTGCCGTCACTGTGCCGTCTCTGTGTGCTGACTGTGCTGTGCCGTCACTGTGCCGTCACTGTGCCGTCACTGTGCCGCCACTGTGCTGACTTGCGGTGCCGTCACTGTGCTGACTGTGCCGTCACTGTGCCGTCACTGTGTGCTGACTGTACTGTGCCGTCAGTGTGCCGCCACTGTGCTGACTGTGCGGTGCCGTCATTGTGCTGACTGTGCGATGCCGTCAGTGTGTGCCGCCACTGTGCTGACTGTACTGTGCCGTCAGTGTGCCGCCACTGTGCTGACTGTGCGGTACCGTCACTGAGCCGTCACTGTGCTGACTGTGCCGCCACTGTGCCGTCACTGTGCCGCCATTGTGCCGCCACTGTGCTGACTGTGCGGTGCCGTCAGTGTGCCGCCACTGTGCTGACTGTGCGGTGCCGTCAGTGTGCCGCCACTGTGCTGACTGTGCGGTGCCGTCAGGCGGTGATGACGTGCAGCAGCTCTGTGAAGCCGGCGAGGAGGAGTTTCTCGAGATCATGGCGCTGGTCGGCATGGCGTCCAAGCCGCTGCACGTGCGCCGCCTGCAGAAGGCGCTCCAGGAGTGGGTCAGCTCGCCCAGTGAGTGTCCGTCTCCCCCCCCACACACACACACACACCAGGGCTCACACACACCTGTACGAGGGAGCGGTCCGGGGGCTGCGAACGGCGGCGAGCCAGCAGCCGTCGGCAGCGGCCGTCTGATCCACGCACTGGCCCCTCAGCCTCCTCAACCGGGCAGATGGTGGCCGTACAGTGGATCTTATTAGGATCTCCAGACGTAACTAGATGGCGTTGAGCCTTAGTCGAGTCCATGTCAAATTCAAGGAGAGGTCACTACCGAGCTGGGCCCGATGGGGAGGTGGGCGGGGAGGGGGGGGGGCGGGTGGCGAGGTCACGGTGCGGGTGACCTGTCAAACAGCCCCGGCGCGGTGGGGCACTGCCGTAGGCAAATGGCGCACTCCAGTGTTGTTCCATATCGCGGTGGTGGGCCGGGCGGCCGGCTAGCTTGGCAGCTTGGAAGGAAAGGATAATGAGGCATGGTTTTGCTGTGGCCGGTTCACCTACTGTTACTTATGATGCACCCAGAGTAATGCAAATGTGGCGTTGATAATGCAGCTGGGCTGGCAATGGAATGCTAGCGAATGCTCCGAGCGCCTAGCTATAAGGATTAAGATTATTTATGTCTCCTGAAATTTTCATTGAATATAATTCAAGCACTAGAGAGATCGTATTCGTTCGCCAGTTTTTTGACCGGCTGGCGTTTCTTGCGTAGAGCGCCCTTGGGCAAATATTTAGGTATAACGCAGGTGATTTTTTTTTTGCTGGTAAGACGCCTTTAGGGTCAAATCAAGAAGTGGCGGCGGAACACCTTTAATGAAGTGGGGACACTGCCGACTTTTGGTCCCATTCTTTCCATTCCAACAACCATAGGGCTAATGTTAAAATGCCAAAATCAAACGGGGGCACGGTGCCCCGATGCCCCCTCCCCACCCCCCCCGTTCCGCCACCACATGAAATCAAGTCGCTAAGAGACGATGAGGAAAAGTGGACGAACGCCACATTTCTGTGCATGAAGTCTCGAGTTATAAAAAGCTAAAAGTTATTTTACGTGTAAGCTAAAAAACAATAAGATCAGTTAATAAAAAATATTTGACCCGAAATTAACTTCTGTTTTGTCTGACCATGATTGCATGTATGACTCCGGTCCAGCCTGGTTCAACTCGGCCCAACCTGGTTCGGCTCCCCCTTTTTTAATATAAATTTGGCCCGAACCTTTTGAATGGAAGGAATCACAACCGACAGAGTCCCCGCTAAGCTGAGCTTGTTAAGCGTTGAAACCTGCCATCTGCCCTCCGATCAAGCAATTCCTGGTCTATTGCAGACTATGGTTTTGAGGTTTAGTCTATGGCAAAATGGTCTGTGGTTTAGAGTCCAAATTTTAACGTGCGCACATAGCCGCGCACGGCCGGTCCCCCCGCTGACTTCGCCTGGCGGCGGCCTGCCACCAACCACAACCATACCCGTCAGGAGGCTAAAAAACGTCAAGCACACGTCGTGTTTCGAACCCGGACTTTTGCAACCGGGACGTGCGCCTTCACCACATGGCACATGGAGTCCAACGCTCTACCGACCGAGCTACCGGGACGGACATTTACCTTGGGGTTTCGCCTCGTGACATTGACAGACGTCAGACACTTTGGCCGAACTTTAGCCGAAACACTGAGCAAGCTGCGCAGGGCGATAGGTGCTCGTAGCGTTGAGGTTGGGTAACCTGTGAGCTGAACGCGATGTCGTGAGTTCGAGCCCCACTCCCGGGTCTGGTTTTATCTAGACACAACCAAAACCTTTCCTTCTACTGCAACACAGCTAAGCACGACGACATCTTTCCCCAATATCTGTCCCCAATATCCTCCCCAAAAGTCAAAATTATCGCTTATAAACGTTTAGCTAAGTTTCATTTTTTAGGAAAATATTTTTGGTCATTTGTCTGGAGTCATTTCAACTCTTTTTTCTTTTCTGATTCTTTTCGACCCGATAAAACCCACCAAAAATGAGCGTGCCAAATGAAAAATATCTAACTCAAATACCAGTTTAGAAAAGCCTCATCATGCATCATGAAAAGCATCATGCAACTATCGACTGAAAAGTTGCATGCTATGAATACGTCCTAGATTGTTTCAATTATCATTGTTCAACATTTTGGCTGGAACTGACGCTGCCTCTGGCTTGCCCGTTTGTTTGAGATAATGATTCCCTTCAGTCGCGTTCTTGCCGGTTCCACATGAACAGGATACCACCATACCGGAGTGAACGCACCCGCAACCATCATCCCCTCCCCTCAGCCTCGGCGCAGTGGCGGGCGGCCCTGGGCGGCCCACTCCCGGCGCTACGCACGCCCCATGCGCCGTGATACCGCGTCACTCCCCCTCCCTCCTTCCCCCACAATGACCGGTGACCTCACTTCCCTCGGGATTTGGACTCGCCCTACCCCGACCGTAGCGCCACGTGGTGGCTCTGGAGATCTTAAATAGACCCACTGTACATACATAGGACCAGTGCTCCTTTAAAGGATCCCCGGACATCAGCATTGGATATTGGGCATTGTTGCCAATCTCTCCATATCAAGCGTTACCTATTTCGCCTCTATGACATAATAATTTTATACATTACCTACCTAAGATCAGTTGGTGCTTATTTGTTAGGGAGGGCGGCGGGGGGAGGGGGATTCCGTCTCTGACTAGCGAGACTGGGGAGGGGATGGACCCGGCGCTGTCCCTCGCCGCCTCCCTCCGTGACCCGGCGCTGCATGCCCCTCCCTCCGTGACCGGCGCTGCCCCTCCATGACCCGCCGCTGGGCCCTCGGTCCGCGACCGTGGAGCTACTGGCTCTCTGTAGCAAGTGCAGGGCGTCCGGGCCCGCTCGGGCCGCGAGGCGTCTGGCTCAGGTGCGCCATCTCCTGCCCGGAAAACTGCCCGCTGCCGGCGGCCGCCGTCATATCAGCCATTGTTTGTGATCAAAAGCGACGACAAAAACGGCTATTTTTCCGACCGCTCTAGGTCGTGCAGTGTAAGCCGAAAAAGCGGCGCTGCAGCCGCACCGCGGCAAACAAGTTTTTACCTCGGCCCGACGACCATTACCGGGCTGAGTGCCGCGGCACACACGGCACACGGTACACACGGTACACGGCACACGGTACACACGGTACACGGCACACACGGACACACACAGACACACGGTACACACGGCACACGGTGCACGCGGCACACCGCACACGGCACACACGGCACACGGCACACACGGTATACGGCACACGGCACACATGAAACACACGGCACACACGATACACACGGTACACATGGACACACGGCACACATGAAACACGGTACACACGGCACATGGCAGTGGCACACACGGCACACGGCACACGGTGCACGCATACACATGAACACACGACTCACACGGCACACACGGCACACATGAAACACACGGCACACGGCACACACGGTATACGGCACACGGCACACATGAAACACACGGCACACACGATACACACGGCACATGGCAGTGGACGGCGCACACGGTGCACGGACCGTGTGTAGACACGGCTGGTCTAGCCGTTGGCTCAGTCGCTGGTCGATGCGGCCGGGGCGTTTTTGCCCTTAGGCGTCCCGCCGTGCACGGGTTACAGGCACGATTAGATGCCACTCTGTGGCCGGAAAACACTCGGCTGTCGACAAATGGAAGCGATCTGAAAACAAAGGTCTCTGCAAAAACGGCTGGCCGCCGGGTCTGCGGTGGACTCGGCTGGGAGGTGCCGGGGGGGGGGGGGGGGGCGCCGCCCGGTCTGCTGCGTGTCGCTGGCACCGCCCGAGGGGCTCCCAGCTCTGCTGGAGTCGACTGCTCATTCACTGTCCACACTATTGTGCTCAGGAACCAAGGGCGTGAGAGCAGATATCCCCAGCTACAACCAGTACCGCCGGCTCGGTCCGTCCGCGTCGTTTGAAAGGACAACGGCAGTGAGATGGGCCGGATACTGGAAATATTCCATGGATAACACAGGGAACGTTCGGACTCCAGCATTTCCAGGCGGCTATGTCAGTCCATCGGGCATTCACGGGCGCCAGTGCTGCCACCGCAGGGCTGCCACTGCGCTGCCACAAATCCACGCCAGATCCACCCCAAACGTGCACCCATCCTGCTTGGAACAGGTCCAGCCGATTTTTAATCAATAAGAAACTGAACCCCCTGTGGGCTGTGAGCCCTCACCACCTCGACCACGGTCCCTGACCGTCGCTCGCCCCTGACCCTCGCTCGCCCCTGACCGTCGCTCGCCGCTGACCTCGCTCGCTGCCCTGCCACAGGACGGTTTCAGCTGCCCATCCTGCCGGTACCGGTACCTCTGGTACCGACGGCCGGCTTTCTGCCGGCTCGGCCCGGCGGAATGGGCGTGGCCAGGGAAGGCCCGGCCTCTGCTCCGCCGGCGGCCCGGCCGCCCTCCCCGCCCTCTCCGGCGGCGGCGGCCAGCCCGGCTCCCAGCCCGGCGGCCAGCCTCGGCGCCGAGCGGGACGGCGCACCGTCACCCTCCCACTCACAGGTACGGCGCGGCGGCGGAGCAGACTTAGACTTTCCACGCTGCGATCAACTTGTCTGGGCGTGTGGTTCTTCTCTGCTGTGTCATGTGTGGGCCCTCGTCTGAACTGCGTGGGTCCTCTGAGCCGTGTCTGTCATCTGAGCTGTGTGGGTCCTCGTCGAGCTGTTTGGGTTCTCTGTGCTGTGTGGATCCTCTGAACCGTGTGGGTCCTCCTCTGAGCTGTGTGTGGGTGGGTCCTCCTCTGAGCTGTGTGGGTTCTCTGTGCTGTGTGGGTCCTCTGAACCGGCGTGTGGGTCCTCCTCTGAGCTGTGTGTGGGTGGGTCCTCGTCTGAACCGTGTGGGTCCTCGTCTGAGCTGTGTGTGTGTGGGTCCTCGTCTGAGCCGTGTGGGTCCTCCTCTGAGCTGTGTGTGGGTGGGTCCTCGTCTAAGCCGTGTGGGTCCTCCTCTGAGCTGTGTGTGGGTGGGTCCTCGTCTAAGCCGTGTGGGTCCTCCTCTGAGCTGTGTGTGGGTGGGTCCTCGTCTAAGCCGTGTGGGTCCTCCTCTGAGCTGTGTGTGGGTGGGTCCTCGTCTAAGCCGTGTGGGTCCTCCTCTGAGCTGTGTGTGGGTGGGTCCTCGTCTAAGCCGTGTGGGTCCTCCTCTGAGCTGTGTGTGGGTGGGTCCTCGTCTGAACCGTGTGGGTCCTCCTCTGAGCTGTGTGTGGGTGGGTCCTCGTCTAAGCCGTGTGGGTCCTCGTCTAAGCCGTGTCCGACGTCCGCGCTCGTCTGAGCTGCGCCGTGCTCGCAGGGCAGTGGTGACCCGCCGCCGGCGGACGACTCGCCCTACCCGGCGTCAGGCTCGCCGCACCTGCCCACGCCAGTGCTGCTCGAGGCGCAGATCCAGCGGCTGGCCCGCTCCGCCGAGCGCATCGCCAAGACGCTGCCGGCGTTCGAGCCGCGCGCTCCCAGCACCAAGAGGAAGGCCTGCAGGGAGCTGGAGGTGGGTGCCTGCAGCCGCGCCGCGCCGCAGAGGCGCCTCTCCTCTCCTAGCTGCAGCAGCCAGTGCAGGCTGCAGTCGCAGTGGCTGTGCTCACTTGGCTCAGGAGTGGTTTGGATCGGAGTCCATCGCTTACCTATTCTTAGATCTAACAAAACCTTTTTCATGATAGCAGAAGAAAGTAATCTGAAGCGTTTATTTTTCAGCTTTTAGTCTGATTATTTAAAGGGACCCTCCCACCTGAACATTAGATTTGAGTTGAGATAGCCAAAATGGGGTCCCTGGCTCACAATTACCGGTTTCGGCACTCACAACATCGAGAAATGCCTTAACTCGAAAATATTGAACTTCAAAATTGCAGCATTTTGATTCAGAGGGGCTAATGCAAAGGAATACCCCTCTGAATGTGTGACGTCAGCGCAGATATCTAACGATTTTTAAATGTTTGACTAAAACGCTTTGTAACACGCTGTGGTATATGCTGCTTTGCGCGCAACAAATGCCGCACTTTCAAATAAAGTCGCTATAGGAACAGCGGAGATCCCAAAAAGTAAACAAAAGTAAGAGTCTATAATATCTTGAAAACCGGTGAATATTTTTCGATGAAATTGGTAGATATTCGTTTTTGCTCTTTCTGAACCGAGCGACATCACTTTCATGCCAATTCATTAACTTTTTTGAAGGCGGGAGGGTCCCTTTAAGCCCGGCTCATCGCTCCAAAAATAATAATTATAACAATGTCACGAGAGGAACCGGAGAAATTAATGAAAAATCAGAAAGATACATAAAAAGCATGATAGATATTTAATATTTTGGGATGGCCAGCGCTAAAAGCATTCAAGCTTCACATGATCTTTACCACAGCACTTGTAGCAATAAGACAATGTCAATAACAAGCAATAAGACAGTATTCAGACTTTATTCAGATATAGACGTTTATGTATAGGTATTTTTTTTCTTTTATTCAGGCCTCCCTCCAACGGGCACTTGTGGCCCATTTACAGGAGGGCTCCTCCTCCTCCTGGCCCCTGTTCCCCCACCCCCCAAGCTACGGCTGAAGTGGGAGCCTACCCCACACCTGGTGACACAGCCGGGGACGACGCCCGCGGAACGGGCGGAACCGGGAATCGAACCCGAATCCGGCACCGCCCGCACCGCGGGTCGACGCCTTAACCGACTGCGCCACCAGGGCCGCTGAGTATTGCGAACATTATTCCCAAACGAGCAGTCATGAGGGTAGGGAGGATGGGATCTGAGTTTGGCAATGTCTCAGGTGCACGGACGGTTGATTGCATGAACTCAGAACTGAATCTGCGAGTAAGTAGGTGACTCGTTCCAGCAGGTCCCGGCTGTCCCGGCTACCCGCTCCGCTGTGGTCGTGGGCCGCTCCTCCAGCACTGGCGCGCCTATCTGACTCACACATATTTTTACCCCGCTTCCCTTGGCGGCATGTTTTACACGGCGATTCAGACTATGCTTTTTCCGGCACTTGCTTAAAAATACCTTCCCTGTAAAATGTAAGTGAAAGGCACCGCTAAACAATGTTTTCGTGCTGAGAAATGCTCGGCTAACAAAGTCTGCTGGCCATTTTTCGGCATGGTAGGCCATCACCGACATCTTGTAGCGCCAAATTGCATCGAGCTACAAGCCGCGCCGCCGAGGTTTTCAGCCGGGCTGGGGCGCCGGGTCAGTGTCTCTGTATACCGCGCACTAATCGGCCCTGTCCCGGCGACACGTCCACACGTCACCTGCGACCACCTCCAGCAGCGGGGCTGTCGGGCTCTGCTGGTCACAGTGGTCAGTGGTCTCCTGGCACGTCCGACACGACCACCGGGACAGTTACCAGGGCCGTTACCGGGGACAGTTACCAGGGCCGGTACCGGGGGCATTTACCAGGGCCGTTACCGGGGGCAGTTACCAGGGCCGTTACCGGGGCCGTTACCGGGGCCGTTACCGGGGACAGTTACCAGGGCTGTTACCGGGGACAGTTACCAGGGCCGTTACCGGGGGCAGTTACCAGGGCCGTTACCGGGGGCAGTTACCAGGGCCGTTACCGGGGGCAGTTACCAGGACCGTTACCGGGGGCGGGACCGCACCGGGGCAGTGACCACTGACCAGACCACCGGGACGGTTACCGGGACCACCGCGACGGTTGCCAGGACGATTACCAGGACCAACGACGGCTATACGACGTAAAGGGGCCGGGTATGACCCCTATACCGTCCCCTGTACCGGACCCCTTGCCCCTGTACCGGCCCCTGTACCGGACCCTACACTTGCCCCTGTACCGGCCCCTGTACCGGACCCTATACTTGCCCCTGTAGCGGCCCCTGTAGCGGCCGCTGGCCCGGCCCGGCCGGTGCAGGGGCCGGATACGACCCGTTTACCGGCAGCTCCGTGACCGCTCTGTCGGCGGCCACTGTATGCACCTGTGGCGGCGCCGGGCTCCATCCCGCAGTGCGCGCCTGTGCCGGCTTTTCCGTCCGGTTTGTCCTGTCTTTTATTGGCAGCCATGTCCAGCGGGAGTTTTACCGTCGGCGCGCCGGGTTTGTCCCTGTGTTTGGCTGATTTTTACGTTTGCAATGATTAACCCTATTAGTGGCAGGCTCCTGGCTACCCCCTATTAGTGGCAGGGGGGGGCTGTTTACGACCCCCCCTTGATATCTCGAGATCTAACGGGCCGATTTTCAAAATTCAAACGGCATTCGATTTCGCTCAACGTGATCTACATTTCTAAAAAATAAAAATTAAAAAATGTCAATAGGGGGGGGGGGGTAGAGGGGGGTAAAAACGGGCAAATTGCAGATACATTTTAGACTGTTTATCACGGCCAGGTTTCTGAACCAATCTTAACGCAACTTTTGCCGATCGATAGAGAATGAACCAGGAATTCACATGGATCCTAAAAATATGCATTTTCAAAAATCATAGGCGGATTCAGATCATTGAGATTGGGGGTACACAAAAAGTATAGTAAATAAGGTTTTTGTTGGTACTGTTTCTAAAAAGGGTGGTAATGGTCTTGTTATGTTATAATTTTCTGATGAGAGAACGACTAAAATTGTATTGGTAATGCATAGGCGGTGTCAGGGCACCTATGTTGGGAGGTAAAACATAACCCCCCTTTTTGGACGCCTGGATCCGCCTATTATAGCAAAAACGTGTCAAAAGAGGATGCACAATAACTGTATATGTTATCACATGATACCTTTTATTCACTGTTCGTAAAACTGGTGCAGCATCGTGATCTTCGCCCAAATGACTCGCTTCACGAATAGGACCCCCCAATTCCCAGTGCTCTGGAGCCGCCCCTGGTAAAGTTATGAACTTGAAATTTTCAGGGATTGTGCCCAATTTAGTTTTAGGAAAAGTCAGAAAATTTCAGCATCGTAGCTTCAGCGGTTTCGGAGATATTCCCGAAAAACCTGAGGGGTGGATAAAAACAACCCCCCCCCCTGCCACTAATAGGGTTAAAGGGCTGGGGCGCCGTTCAGCGTGCCCAGCCGAGGACCAAGGTCGCCGGGCACAGGTGCGGGCGGTCCTCCACACGGACCCGTACCGACACAGGTGCGGGCGGTCCTCCAGGCGGACGGGGACGGACCCGTACGGACACAGGTGCGGGCGGTCCTCCAGGCGGACCCGTACCGACACAGGTGCGGGCGGTCCTCCAGACGGACCCGTACCGACACAGGGGCGGGCGGTCCTCCAGACTGACGGGGACGGACCCGTACCGATAGGCATGTATGCAGCAGCGGAGGCTCACACCCAGACCGCCCACTCTCGGAGTCGGGGACGCAGTCGGATTGTCCCAACTCCGTGCAGATCTGAGACGACTGAGAGATATCTCCGTCGGGCGTGAACCTCTCGCAGTTTCGCGGGTGTCCTCGTGGAACATGTGCGGGTATACAATGTACATTTTTTTATATTTAGAGGTTATGGGGGAGAAGCATGTATGCACTTTTATAAGTTGCGATCGTAGTGGGGATAACGGTGGACATAATTTGTATCAGTCATATGTGCTTGATACTTGACTTCGAACTTCTGAAATAAAAACGGCAGCTGACTTAAGGTGCATAGCACTAGTAGTCGGACTAAGTTTTACAATCTTTGGGTGTGATGTCACAAAGTGATGAATGGTGATCAGGGATTCCAACATGTTCGCCTAATCGCTACGTTTACTTGTGAATAGTGATCAATGTTACATGCAGTGGGGATGTCACCGCTCCCCCCCCCCTGTAGGCGGGCTGAGTCTGACGCCGCCCTCCCCCCCCCCCCTATAGGCGGGCTGAGTCTGACGCCCCCCCCCCTGAGTCTGACGCCTCCCGACCCTCCGGCAGCTCGTGATGACGATGTCCTCCGATGACCCGAAGCGACCGGAGAAGTTTCGCGAGTTCGCCGCCATCTACGGCAGGTTCGACTGCAAGCGCAAGGCCGAGAGGCCGCTCACCCTGCACGAGGTCGGTGGACGGCCGTCTCCGCCCCCCCCTCCGTCCCCGTACCCCGCCCCCCGTACCTCGCACCCCGTACCCCGTCCCCCGTATCCTGCCCCGTCCCCGGTCCGATGGTACGGGGTAGACGGTCTCAGTGGGTGGGGTGGGGGGCGTGGGGTGGGGTGGGGGGCGATCTAGGTAATGTGGCCATATACCGTGGGGAACACTTTGGTTGATAATTAATCGTGTCTTTGCAAATGGCTGAAGCCTTTGTTGTGGTGCATGCTTGAAGGCCTTTTTGTTCCACTATGCACCACCGCTGTAGCTGTGTCGTGCCACTGTGCGCCGCCGCTGTAGCCCTATGGTTCCACTGTGCGCCGCCAGGTGTCTGTCAACGAGGCGGCGGCCCAGATCTGCATGCAGGTCCCGGCGCTGCTCACCCGGCGTGACGAGCTGTTCCCGCTGGCCAGACAGGTGGTGCGCCACTCGGGCTACCAGTACTCCAAGGGCCACTCCAGGTCAGTCTAAGGGCCACTCCAGGTCAGTCACGGTGTCACCCCAGGTCAGTCACAGGGTCACTCCAGGTCTGTCATAGGGGCACGTCAGGCCATGCACGGGAACACTCCGCGTTGTAAGTGATAGGAAAACGGGACTTGTGACATGTACTCGTTATGACATATTTCCTGCAATTCGTTCTTTGATTTTAATTCAAGGCCCAGTGGCCCTATCCTCTTACCACATCGTTCAGCGTGCGCCCAGTTCGCGGGAGTAGACCCGGTTGCTCACCGAGCCTCTGCGCCCCCCCCCCCCCCCTCCGCAGCTCACACCCGGCCGCGCACCGACCCCTGTCCCGGCCGCTCTCACCGACCCCTGTCCCGGCCGCTCACCGAATCTCTGTGGGCCCGCGGCAGGTCGCAGGGCGCCCAGGGGTTCTCTCCGCGCGACTTCTCCGGCTGGGAGGAGACGGGCGCCGCCAAGAGGGCCCGGCTCGACTCTGACTCGCACTCGGACGACCTCCGAGACAGCGAGTGGTGCGGCAGACAGGTCAGTCAGACAGCGAGTGGTGTGGCAGACAGGGCAGTCTCAGTCAGACAGCGAGTGGTGTGGCAGACAGGTCAGTCAGACAGCGAGTGGTGTGGCAGACAGGTCAGTCAGACAGCGAGTGGTGTGGGTGGCAGACAGGGCAGTCAGACAGCGAGTGGTGTGGCAGACAGGGCAGTCAGACAGCGAGTGGTGTGGCAGACAGGTCAGTCAGACAGCGAATGGTGTGGCAGACAGGTCAGTCAGACAGCGAGTGGTGTGGCAGACAGGTCAGTCAGACAGCGAGTGGTGTGGCAGACAGGTCAGTCAGACAGCGAGTGGTGTGGCAGACAGGTCAGTCAGACAGCGAGTGGTGTGGCAGACAGGTCAGTCAGACAGCGAGTGGTGTGGCAGACAGGTCAGTCAGACAGCGAGTGGTGTGGCAGACAGGTCAGTCAGACAGCGAGTGGTGTGGCAGACAGGTCAGTCAGACAGCGAGTGGTGTGGGTGGCAGACAGGGCAGTCAGACAGCAAGTGGTGTGGCAGACAGGGCAGTCAGACAGCGAGTGGTGTGGCAGACAGGGCAGTCAGACAGCGAGTGGTGTGGGTGGCAGACAGGTCAGTCAGACAGCGAGTGGTCTGGCAGACAGGTCAGTCAGACAGCGAGTGATGTGGCAGACAGGGCAGTCAGACAGCGAGTGATGTGGGTGGCAGACAGGGCAGTCAGACAGCGAGTGGTGTGGGTGGCAGGTCAGTCAGACAGCGAGTGGTGTGGGTGGCAGACAGGTCAGTCAGACAGCGAGTGGTGTGGGTGGCAGACAGGTCAGTCAGACAGCGAGTGGTGTGGGTGGCAGGTCAGTCAGACAGCGAGTGGTGTGGGTGGCAGACAGGTCAGTCAGACAGCGAGTGGTGTGGGTGGCAGACAGGTCAGTCAGACAGCGAATGGTGTGGCAGACAGGTCAGTCAGACAGCGAGTGGTGTGGCAGACAGGGCAGTCAGACAGCGAGTGGTGTGGCAGACAGGTCAGTCAGACAGCGAGTGGTGTGGCAGACAGGTCAGTCAGACAGCGAGTGGTGTGGCAGACAGGTCAGTCAGACAGCGAGTGGTGTGGCAGACAGGTCAGTCAGACAGCGAGTGGTGTGGCAGACAGGTCAGTCAGACAGCGAGTGGTGTGGCAGACAGGTCAGTCAGACAGCGAGTGGTGTGGCAGACAGGTCAGTCAGACAGCGAGTGGTGTGGCAGACAGGTCAGTCAGACAGCGAGTGGTGTGGGTGGCAGACAGGTCAGTCAGACAGCGAGTGGTGTGGGTGGCAGACAGGTCAGTCAGACAGCGAGTGGTGTGGCAGACAGGGCAGTCAGACAGCGAGTGGTGTGGCAGACAGGTCAGTCAGACAGCGAGTGGTGTGGCAGACAGGGCAGTCAGACAGCGAGTGGTGTGGCAGACAGGTCAGTCAGACAGCGAGTGGTGTGGCACACAGGGCAGTCAGACAGACAGCGAGTGGTGCGGCAGACAGGGCAGTCAGACAGCGGTTGGTCAGTAGCGGGGATGTGGGCACGACAGACTTTTAGGGGTGTTTACTGTCGTGGCGTGCGTGAAAACCCGTACCACTCACTATATTGTCCAATATTTTGGTCGGCTTTGCTCCCCTGCTAAGCAATCATCGTTTTGATTATCTTAGGGTAGTGTTCGCCTCCTGGCTATTCCAGGCCACGGCGCACGCCTGCCAAATACCTACCACTCACAGCACCTGAAGTCGCAGGGTATCTACTTCCCGCAATTCATGAGTGCCCCCAGTCCCTGAGCGGTGAACGCCTCCACAGTCCCTGAGCGGTAGGCGCCTCTCCAGTCCCTGAGCGGTGAGCGCCTGCCGCAGTGAGCGGTGAGCGCCTCCCGCAGTGAGCGGTGAGCGCCTCCCGCAGTGAGCGGTGAGCGCTCCCAGTCCCTGAGCGGTGAGCGCCTGCCGCAGTGAGCGGTGAGCGCCTGCCGCAGTGAGCGGTGAGCGCCTCCCCAGTCCCTGAGCGGTGAGCGCCTGCCGCAGTGAGCGGTGAGCGCCTGCCGCAGTGAGCGGTGAGCGCCTCCCCAGTCCCTGAGCGGTGAGCGCCTGCCGCAGTGAGCGCTGTGCGGCCCCCAGGAGCGGCTGGAGCAGATCGCCGACGAGCTGCGTCTGCTGCGAGACCAGGCGGAGCGGCTGCAGGCGGCCGACTCGGACAGGTCGACCCCGGCGGCGGCGCTGCACCACCAGCTGGAGAGCCTGCAGGAGCGCCAGCGGCGCCTGGTCGCCGAGCAGCACAGCCTCGTCGGCCTCAACAAACAGTGAGTGCACGGACACAGCCTCAACAAACGGGGAGTGCACGGCCACAGCCTCAACAAACAGTGAGTGCACGGCCACAGCCTCAACAAACGGGGAGTGCACGGGGATAGCCTCAACAAACATTGAGTGCACAGGGACTAAGCAGTGAGTGTAAGGGACAGGTTAAACAAACAATAACAGTGAGTGGACGAGACACAATCAACAATCAGTGAGTGCCGGACGAGACACAACCAGCAAACAGTGGGTGGACGGGGAATCGTCAACAGCTCCCAATAAGCAGTGGTGACAGAACAGCAAGCGGTGCTCGTCTGTCACAAATCACTATTCACTTTGGCTTGTAGGTCGCTTACGTGTGTATGTATGCCACCAGAGCCCTATCATATCCCTATCGGACCCCTTTCGTATCTCTACCGGACCCCAGGTATCGTATCCATACCGGACCCCTACCGTACCCCTGCCGTATCCCTACCGGACTCCTACCGTACCCCTGCCGTACCCTTACCGTACCCTTACCGTACCCCTACCGTGCCCCTGCCGGACCCCTAACGTACCCCGGCCGTGTCAGGGCGCTTGTGGTGTGATTGCGACGACCTGTGAGTTTCGGCTCCGCTCAGCAGACGGGGACGGAGCGGAGGGACTGAGCTGAGGGCGTGGGGCCGTTTCTTTTCGCCACTCTCACCACACGGTGGGACGGCAGTGGGCCGTCGGTGCACCTGGCACGTGCAAAAACAACACCCACACCGGCGCGTGCAGATTTATAGCATTTTTTGGCGCGTTTAACGCCGCTGGTGCAGCGTACAAAAACAGAACCGCCGCAGAAAATCGGCCGGTAAAAAGAGCGCCGCGCGCGCACTGGAGTGTCGGAGGCGGCTCTTTTGTGCATGTCGTCGGCAGCGGCCGCCGTCAGCCGTGGCCGGGGGCCGCCGCACTGTCCGGTGAGGACGCGATCAGTTGACAGGGAAGGCCGGAGGGGACCATGGACCTGTCCCGACCTCAACCTTCTCCGAGCGGGGAGGGCCGGAGGGCGTTTTTTGGTCACGCCAGCCAGTTTTTTTTTGCGTGTGTACAGAACACCAAAGCACGCAGCGCTGCGAAACTTGATATAGCTTATGATACATCGATTTCACATCCTGTGTGAAATTTTTGACCTCAGGTCACATAAGGTCAGATCGCCAGTTGCGGTAACGTGACCATGACTCTGAATTTGTTTATCTCAGAATTTCGATATCGGTAACTTAAGGTCAGGTCAATTTCGCGACCTCTCCATAATAAGTCAACGGGAGGAGAAAATTGAAATGTTCTTGTTTTGAACAAAACACCCTCAAACATCGGAATTAGCATAGCACACTGAATCAGAAAATGGCACGCTTGACCCCTTTCATGCCCCTGAGGTCCTCTAAGGTCTTGAAACGTCTCGAACAGGTTCTTGACAATAACTTTAGATCAAAATTCAAAACATGCTAGAGCGCTGAAAACCATGGGTGCATTCAGCTCAACGATATGAATCGACTTATATGCAGCTTGATCTTTTCTGTGACGTTGATCTGAGGTCAAATTTTTAAGTTGACCTTTCCAGATCAACTTATAGTTCATTCGCCCACGTCTCGACAAGAGAAACGCGACGCTCGTTAAATTAACGTTAATACAAGCTTGGCGTCAAAAGTTTTTTTTTTACAGAAAAATGTTTTCCGCAAAACGTCAAATTTTGAGTTTTTTTTGCCCGCTGGAGGCTACACAGGTATCGAAATAGAGCGCATTACTCAGGGAGAGCTTTGAAAGAGCTATCAAATGCGTTTTTCTTTGGCGCTATAGCTCTATTGGTTCCCGACTTATGCGCCGCACGATGCGCCGATTTGTGGAAAGTTGTCAAAATCGGGAACCAAAATTCGTGATTGGTAATTTTACTTTTGGTGACCTCCAGTGACCTCAGCGATGACCTGATTAAAAAATTACTTGTAAGTACCTATACTTCTAAATCTTGCAGCGAGCTAAATACCTTTTTCTGCGTCTTCCTACCTTTCTTACTTTCCGAAATAGCCTGGTGTGGCCAAATAGCGAAGTTGGCTGAGAGGCCTACCCGTGCGCGAGTGAAACAGAAAGTTTGCGGCTTTACATAAGAAAGCGAACTCCGAAAGTTTTCGAAATGGGAAACTGCTTTGGGGATTACCCGGCAGCGCTCGGCGCCCCTGGTAAATTGGTTGTTCTATATACCTTGGTAAATTGGTCCGCTGCACTGGTGCCGCCGACACATGCCGCGCCGTCTCGTGGCCCCCAGAGTCTTTTTGTGACGAGCCAGCTTGTCAATTAGATATTTTGAAATCGCGCAAAAAGGCCTGGGCAGAGGATCGGACCAAAAACTGGCGCTGTCGGCGGCGGCGGCCGGACACTGGCGACCGCCGCCGCGGCCGGCCGCTTTTTCTGACCGTTTTTGGTGCAGCGGAAACTCCAGCGGCCCCCGTTCCTTTGTCCATTTTTGTTGCGATTACATGTCAAAAGGTCATCTGAACGGAAGGGCTGTGATCACGATATGGGTCTCAGTCGGGCTGTCCGCCTCTGGGGACAGACAGAGCTGAGGTCAGCACACGTTTGTACGTTACATACACAGCTATGCACTACCTGTGCCTATACTGTGTCTCCGACTTGGTAAGGAAGTGCCCATGCCAATCCTTTATTCTGTGAAGAAAGTCTGGTGCAGTGACTTTGCTCACTCTTTATAGGAAAAAAATCAATTAGTTAAGCAATCGAAGCTTGGAATAAAGTCGTAAAAGAAACCGACGTCTCCGTAAAGGAATGGTATGTACCAGGTAAATAAAAATAATGCACTATCTAGTTAGTTGGGTATGTACCTACCTACTATTGTGATAGCTGAGTTACACAGCCACATCCGTTAAGTGGCTGTAAGAGGTGGCCGGGCTGGGCCGAGTGTCGCAGCGGTGAGCACCGTCTCTGACCGGTGTGAACGCGCCGCGCCGTCCCGCAGACCCCCGGTGACTGCAAATACCTGGCTTTGTGCGGCCCGGTTTACGAGCGGCATACCCGGGCCGCCGACACTCCCGTCCGACCCGTCTCCCAGCGCCTCCCGACTCTAAGGCAGCCTTTACGAGCGCGCCAAAAAAGAATTGGCAAAGCTTACGCCCCGCGCCGGACAAATACGAGGCTAATTTTTCTCAATATCTGTCGTTATCTTTGGTAATGGCTCGGCGTTTACGGCTTGGAGCAGGGAGTTTATGATTGGCGCGCTATTGACGGCTCTATTCTGGGCGCCGAGGGCCAGTGTCTCCGGCCGGGGCGTGAGAGTCGGCCGGGCGCCGAACGGACTCCGGGCGGCGCGCGGCGCCGCGGGGCTCTGGGAAACCGGCCGCGCAGCGCCGCCGCGCACTGGGCCACCTCCCAACGGAATGCCACCCAGCTTTACAGGCGCGTAGCAGCGAGTGCGGGTTGACAACGACTAGATTGAAGCAAAGTCACGGCGCGGTATGCGAGCAAGCTACTAACGCCATCGTCCCATGCTACCCGTTGTTTGAATGACGGTTAAGCCGACGGCGACTCGCTGCGATAAGCCGGCGTGACACGGTGACGGCGCGGCGTGCGCGCTAAATTGGTGGTTTTCTGGGGCGTTTTTAGCAGACGATATTCCTGTGAACATGACAATGGTCTGCGGCGACAGAAGCGGCGCCGGCCACCGCCGCGGTAGCCGGCGCCGGGCCGCTGCCGTCAGTCGCACGGACTGCTTAACACCCGGCCTGCCCGCCGACGTGGCCATGTGGAGCCCGTGCAGTGGGACTATCGGTCCAGGAGCCGACACCTGCCGCCCTTCGTCACACTGCTCCGAAAACAAACCCTCCTCAAAGCGCTGCAGGGTAAAGATGCATGCGGTGCTTAGTGCTTTGTGTGACATATCAGTACGGCTCTGGTGCGATATGAATGCTGAGTTTAGATTGGAACATTACACTCGTACCGTTAAACTCCAGTCCATATTTAGAATTTATCGTTATTCAGCTGGGATAAATTGCTTATTTTAATGACAAAGCAAAACAATGTTTTTCATATTAATTCTGTTAACATTCATATTAATTCTGCAGACCCCATCACCCTGCACTGACTGGGGTTTGCGTAAATAACACTGCGTATACGGGGGGGGGGGGCTAATGCTATTCATAGCCTCCGATCTTAACTACACAACTACTCGGCCGATCTTCAGAATTCAAACGGCGCCTGCTAGCCCCGGAAAAACTGTCGAGCAAAACCTAACTTCATTGACCTCGAGGTCACCGATGACGTCACAGCTCAGGTCAAAGTAAAAGTTATCGATGTTTGGCTTGTTCACATTTTGGGCCCTAGCCGCCGTCTTACATGTCAGATCAGGCTCATTTTTGGATTACACATTCGTGAACAGATGCTTTAGATACCCTGAGGGTACCAAGCTTGTACTTTGATTTTCAGGTCAGGGTCAGGTCATCGCAGGCCACGGCACTCTTATATCAGCATCGGTCACGTGACACATGTTTTATGGTCCATTTAGGCTATATATTTCGAATTCGATGTCGTTTATGTCATTCGAGGTCATTTTGAGTTGAATTTATTTTAGGTCGGGCCACTTTCAGGTAAAAAGTCAAATTTTTAAGTTAAAATTTTCAACAAAAAATGTGTCTTTCGGATGCAGTTTGACATCAGGAACACGATGGTGCTATCTATATTGGTGTACGATGTCAAATACGTACTGAAAAATTGATTTGAAAATTAACTATTGTGATTTTATTTTGCAATCCTGCGTATACCTAACTTGGCTATTTTTGAACATAACTGGCTAAAAGTTGTAAGCCGTAAATCATAAGAATGTATTCTATTACATATATTCCGTTTTTTCCAAAAGTCAAAAGTTTTTTTTTTTTTTGAAAGAAAGATAATATATGCATAATACATTATACAGGGTGTCCAGAAAACGGATGCTTTTATTTTTTGCTGTAATTCCGAAAATAAACACCGCACATTTTAAAATGGC